TTATTGAAATTTATATAAAAAAAAACTATTTTGTTTAATTTATTAAAAAATATCAGTAATTTACATGCAAAATTCATCGATCATCTAATTTTTGATTTATATATTGTATGAGCTTATAATTTTATGCGTGATCAATATTGGTATTATTCTTGAATTTTGAAAAATTTTAATGGATGTTATTAATTAACTTTAAGAATTATGAGGGGTCAGATACTTATGACCGCTTCTGTATAATAATTTTCAAAATTTTATTAATTTTAAATATAAAATTATTATATTTTTTGTTATTATTATTTATTATGATTTTACTAGCATTAATATTTATTTTTAGTCTTTAATTAATTTTAAGTTGACTATTTTGATTATAAGATTTATCTATTATTCTTTATTCTACTAATTTTTTATATAAGTTTACTAAATATCTTGTAATTAAATTTTTAATTATTTTAATTTTAAGCATTTTATTTATAAAATTTCACCTTTTTTTGCTAATTTTTTTAATTACATCACTATTTTTTTTTGCAAATATTTAATTTATCTTATTTATATTTTTTACCAAAAAAAATTCTTTTAAATAAAACTTTATTTTTATTGTTATATACTTTTTACTATTTTTTTTAGCCATATTTATAGTTGCTTCTAAATGCATACCTATTTTTTAACAAAAATTTCTTATTTATATCTATAATAATAAAATATTATATCATTAATAATTTTAAATTAAATAATATTTTATAATTAAAAATACAAATACTTCTAAAATAGATTTAACTATTATTTTTATTTTAATTATATTTTATTCTATTACCTATAAATTTTTACAAAATTATTTTTATTTTTTTTTGAAATAAAGAATTTACTAAATATAATAAACCTTTACTTTAAATTATATAAAAATTTATGCTAAATTTAGTTTAGTATGAGTAAAATATCAAAAGTTAGTTTATATAAAGGTTTTTCAATTAAAATTTGAAATATCAATTAAAAAATTATGTGATTATATACCTATAGATAATAAGATTTGAATCTAAATATATTTAGCAAATAAATCTTCAATTAACCATTTAAAATAAATAATTTTGTAATACTTGATATAATTTTTATAGATATATGATTACGCTTTGATTTTAGATAAGCAACAACAATTTTTCTTAAATATTAATTGCTTTTTTAATTTTTTCATTTTCATTTAAATTATAACTAACTCATATATATCACTTAATAATATAAATTAAATAAGTAATTATATTAGTTAGTTCTAATTTCAAAATAAAATATTAGTTTATAAATCAAATTTAGATTTACTTATATATGGGGCATGCTACAACAAAACTAGACAAAGTAAACATTGGTATTACCAAGGATTTTAGAGATCAAAATTTAGTAATGTGATTATTAAAATCTTCTATTTGTTATCTAAAGTGATATATAGAACTATCTCTATACAAAAATAGTTAATATAAAATTAATTTACATCAGATCCACTATGGAACCCAAAAATTACAATACCATCAGAAGTATTTTAAAAAAGGAACAAGGTGAGAAAATTGCACCTTATATTTTCAAAATAAATGATACTCAAATACTGGAAGCTTATCTAAGGAAAGAAAAGATTACTTATGAAATTTATTAAGAAGAAAGAAAAATAATAAATGTTGGAAAAAGAAAGCATCATGATGATGCATTATTACCTAACAAAAAGCTAAAGTCTCTAGAAGAAAAATAATAGGAACAAATTTATTATCTATTTTATCTTTTTCTTTTTGGAATTTTCTCAATAAGTAACTAGATTTCTAAAACTAATACTAATGTTCTACTCCAACCACGATTTAAAGAGTTTTCTTTCATGATTGAACACTGTTTTTTTTTTTTTTTTTTTTTGTAAAACTTTATTATAAAAGTATAGTTTAAACAAAAAAAATCATGAGTAAAAAAAAATGTTTTAATTGCCACAATACAAAAGAAGATTCAACTGTTAATTGATAAGATGAAGAAGAAAAAGAACATGTTGAATTTTGTTGTTGAGATTGTTCTTAAAACTTAATTCAAAAAGAATTAGATGAAAAAACTGCTGATTGAGAAAGAAATAAAAAAAAGATCTTTAGAGAAACTTTAACTAAAGTTAAAAATAAAGAAGAGTTTGACTGACCATGAAGGGTAAGGAGTTTAAAAGATAAAGGCAATGGAAATGAGACAGGTTTACTACCTATTGTTCTCAATGCAAAATCATGTTGGATTGAGATGTCACTGCTTATGAAGACAGTCGAGAATATAAATGTTCACAATGCCGTAATTGTCAAGAAGACATTAAAAGAGGTGAACAAGATAAATATTTCACTTGAAAAAATGATAACACACCTAGTTATATTTGTCCTAAAAGTACAGCAAAGGGTGAAATAGTTTGTCATACATATAATAATGTGGAAGTACACAAAAAAGGCATGTATAAGTGTTGACTTTTTGATTTTGGAGGGAGTGTTTTTTCTGGTCTAGTGTTAAGATCACAAACCAAATGTCATACAGCAATTTGCACCAAACGTCATGCAAATAATTTACAAGAAATAACTAGACAAGAATGAGCTGATATTTTACCAGTGCTGAAAGATACAATCAACAAAATAGATAAGCATTATAAGCCAATGGGATATCAGTTTAGTTTTGGAGTAGGGAAATTAGGGGGCAGAACTCACTTCATTTTTATATGCGAATAGTTCCTAAGTACAATAAAGACTATGGAGTTACAGGATCCAAAGAAGCTTATGAAAAAGCTACACCTGAACAAATACAAGCAACTAAAAATGCCTTGCAACCAAACTCAGATAATATCATTATTGAAAAGGGCAAAATTATTGCTAAACTGCGTAATGAAGTAAGTTTGGATACACAACTATCTCTACCAAAAATCATTTACTTAATTAAATCAATGCTGTGGACCAAGAAACTTGAGATCAAATTGGTGAAATATTACAAGAAATCATGCAAAAATTTGAAAACACTATGAACATTTATGACTTCCAGATTGGATGTGAATTAGGATAAGAACTTATAAAAACATTAAAGAGTGAGAAATGGGAGGATGATGTTCCTTCTTATGCCAATGACTATAGTGAATCTGAACTTGTGATAAATGTGTTTTCTAAAACCAAATTGCAAAAATATTGAAGACATTACAGGCCAATTAAAAAAAATAACCAATTTGACAGCACTATGGAAAATGAAAGAATAGCTGAAAAAATAAGAGACCCTAAAGCTTACTACAAAAAATGAAATAAAACTCCTAGAGTCGAATTAGAAAACCAACTTATCAAAAATAAAAAAGAGAAAACTTATTGAATGGTTGGTTGTGAAATACTATTTGTCTCCTTAGCTGTTTTAATTATTAAGATAGTGAAGATTAAGAAACATAAGAGTTAATTATGTCATCTAATAATTTCTTATTTAGTATAAAAATTATTCAATTACATTTTATGCTGGCTTGAGGCAAGTAATATCTTTATATTCATCTTTCACAAATGGGCAAATATTATGATAAAGATATTCTTGTCTTTTGTAATCCAAAGGGGAAGGTGTTAACACTAAAATAGATAAAGCTCTAATTTCTTCAAAAATATCTGCTTTCTTGGTTTTCAATAAATTGAATTCAGTAAAAGGTCTGTTAGCAACTTCTTAAACTTTCACTGTATCAAGATTAGATGTTTCAAAAAGAAAATGTTGATATTTCTATATGTTTGGTAATTTCTTAAAATAGATTCCCAAAATAACTTTAATATCTAAGTATTGAAAACCTTTTCCACCTTCATAACATTGGACTCTATTTAATCCTGCTGGACTAGACTTTTTTATCACCTCAACCACATTATCCAGACAATCTACTCTTGTTCTTCTGTAGAGTTTTTTAATCATGCCAAAATTACCATCACATTTGAATTTAGTATGTTCAGGAATCATGAAATTCAATTCAATACTTTCATAATAATCACAAATTACTAAATACAAGTAAAACCAAATTGTTATATTATTTTTATTTTGTTCACTAGCATTATCATAAGTAATCTTTAAATGCTTTTCACCTTTATTCAATTTCTTAATTCCATCAAAAATCATGCTAAGAATTCCATTAGGTCCTTTTCCTATAATTTCATCTTCATTAAGAACATAATTAATTTGTTCTCTTACTGCTTCATCTTGAATACCAAATAAATGAACTTTACATGAACTAAGGTAATAAATTTTACTTACTTGTTGATTTAAATGTGGTATATAAACATTTTGAGCTCAATCATAACTATAATGAGCAGTAGCATCAATACTGCAATATAGTGTTTTACCCTTTGAATAATTTTGATCAACTAATTTTCTTTGTTCTTCTGCTAATTTAGTGTTTTTATTATAATAATTTCTTTCTAGTTTGATCTTGAATAGATGCTCTTTAAATCTTTTGAGCAAATCTTTAGCTTCTTCCTCTTGATGAGCATTATAATGTAAACCATCTCTAAAATGTTGACAAGTATTACACAAATCAGTCCTGGGACTTATAATTTGAATTTCTGGTGTCAATTGATGTCATAATTTTTTGAAGGCATCATACTTCAAGGATTTCAAATTATTATTTTCTTCTAGACCAGTTAGGAAATTCCTGTGGACTGATTTATAACTCATTTCAGCTGGTAAAAATACAATTGATTGAGTTATTCTATTGACACTTCTCCCTAGACTTGGTAATCCATGAACTTCTGCATAATTTCTAGAAAATTTTTTACTACTTCTGCAACATTTTTATCAATCATCATCTTAGTTTTCCATTGAGGCATTCTTTTAACATTACCATGAGTTCTTGGTAAAAGACCATTATTTATCAGATGATTTCTAATATTTTCAAAATAAGTCCTGTCAATTCCTAGCATATTGAGATAAGTTTCTTAACAAAGAAGTATATTGTGATCTCAGTGATAGAAAGTCCTTTTATTAGATCTGATTTTCTTTTTGAGACGTCTGCTAGTGCTTATTGATCTACCATCCATTGCTTTAAGTTGGACCATTAAAAATACATCTTGTTCTGTTTTAGAAAGAGCTTGAAAAGATTCCCTTAATTCTGCAAATTGTTCTTTGGAAATTCTGGAAAAACAACCACATTTACAACCTTTTTCTAAAAAGTCAATTGCTTTTTCATATTCATTAGAATTATTATAATTATTATTTACATTATTACTTTTCATATATACTTATCCCTATATATATAATTTTATATTCACTTTGTAGTCTTATGTAATTTTAAGATATATTCTCAATAAAATTAACTAAGCATAAAGGATAAAGGAGTCATTATCCATAAAAGAAATTATTTCATTAAGATTGATTGACTAGCCAAAAAGTTTGGTCTAAATTAACATTAAGTTTATTGATCATAATATAAAACAAGTCAACAAAAATTCTAGCAATAAATTCATTAAATAAAAAGAACAAAGCAATAAAAAAATTAAATTTTATATTTTGTTTATCAAGAAACTTTTTCTAGAATGAAATAAATTGCAACATTAGAAACAATCTATTATTTTATACATTTGAAAATAATGATATAAATTAACATAATGTATTAAGAAAATGAAGATCATGTTCTTTTTTCATAAGTTTCCCCTCTTCTACCCCTTGTGGCCAATTAATATCATCAGAATGGTTCATAAATGGTGGATATTTATCTACATTATGCCTTCCTGCCCAATCAAAGTCAATTAAAAATATTCTTCTTGAATCACGATCATATAGAACATTATTTGATCTTAAATCTCCAAAAACTATATCATTTTCATGCAATATATCAATTAGATGTTTGATATAACCCTTTATATTTGATTTCTCTTCAATAGTGAGGTCTTTTATCATATTCAAAGGATTACCTATATAAATCAGATTAGTGTTAAACATTATCAAATTGGTTGTTGAAATTTTGAACTGAGGTACTTACCATTTACTGACTCCATAATGATTATTTTCCATCCAAATATAACATTATCCTGAACTTCCAGCAAATTTGGTGATCCATTTTCTCTAGCACATAAGTTATGTGCATCAACATTATATCGTTGAACAAATTTAACAATGATTTTCTGATTTTTAGCTTTTGCAGCCAAAATAAGTGGTTTAATATATAAAGTATAAGTAAATGATACATCATTGAAAGTAGTTGGAAAAGGAAAATAGATTTTGGTGTCAGAAGTGATATCATAAGAGTTAGGTTGCAATTTAGCACAGTAATCAACAAGACTTCTAAAAGATTTACGTAAAGCAGTAAATATTCTAGCAATTTGTGTAAGTTGTGTATAATCCACTGTAGGAACTATGGGTATCATGTTTATGAGGTTATCTACTTTCACAGAATCTGTAAAAACAATACCTATATAGAGATGTTAGCATATTGATTAACCAAAAAAAATTATATAACATATTTCTTACCAGAAATACATAACCATGGTCCTGCTGAACATAATAAAAATGCTGGACAAACAGATGTATCTGAAATTGCTTTATAATGTTCAGGCTTTCCATCCCATTTACCTGCCCAAAACTTTGTATAACAAATAGATGCTTGTAAAAATGGATCACATCCTCCTGTAGAAATTTCATTTTTCATATCATGGATGACTATTGGAATATCTATCTTAATTCCATTTACAATTTTTGACCCAAATATATATCCATCATTCTGTGGACTACCATTAGGACCTTTCTGAAAAGGCTCTCCAAAAAGCCAAGAGTAAAATAATGTTGTGGCAGATTGTCTATGTTTTTCATCTGTGTAAAATTCTGACATGACCTTCACAAAAGAAAGAACTTCTTTACATATTTCCATATCCACTTCAATAGTTGAACAGTCTTTGAGAAATTGTGAGAAAACTTCATGATATAAAACAACAGGCTGTCCAATATAGTCTAAATCTGGTGGGCGGTGACATTGTATATTGGCAATCCTTTGGTGTTTTGGGAATACTCGATGTACAGCAGCAACAGATGGAGAATCAACCAAATTAATGTGTTCAAAAGTAAATAAACGTTTATTCCTCATAGTGACAAGATCCCCAACCCACTTACGTTTTGTTCCAGTGGAAACTATAATAGAATGACAGCAGTAACAGAAAAAAGGAAAATAAACCAATGAGTTGTTTGCATTTTGTAAATGTAAAAGTTGATGGCAAATTGACAAGATAAACAAGCGATAGAAACCTTCTATGATAATTTGTTAAAGACAACAGCAAAAATGGAAGGGGAAAAGCATAAATTAGCTATATTTTATAAATATAAAATATTCAATATAAAATGTTCTCACCTGATTCTTTAATTGATTCTTCAATAGATAAAAGATAAACAGCAAAATGAAAGAATTAATCCAGTAGAGGATAGATTTAATTAAAAATATAATAATAAATAACCAAAGAAAAATATTAGTCAAAGTTGTATACAGTATACCAAATAATCACTCAAATAAATAAACGAAATGGAATGAACGAAAAATAATTTTTTGTATATTATTTTTACGCAATTTGTTTATTACCTTCTCCTTTACCAAGGTCGACTAATTTATTTTGCAAATTAATCGTTTGGTTCTTCCAATCGTCCACATTCATCTCCAACCTCTCCTTCTCTTTCTTCAGCTCGGCTATCTTATCTTCCCATCTTTTCTCCTGTTTTTCGTTCCTCGCTTTTCCATCATCTAACTTCTCTTCCAAATCCTCCAACTTCTTTTCCCACTTCTCTTCCCACACCTCCAACTTCTTCTTTGCTCCTTCATACTCTCTTTTTGCATCTTCTTTATCTTTTTCAATTTTGTCAATAATTGTTGTCATTTCGTGATTAAAAAATTTAGAATTAATTTTTTAAAAAATTTTTTTTTTTTATTATTTATTGATTTAGATCGTAATTGTTACAATTTAAATAATTTGGACCAATGATAAATTAGTGGGCACATGACTTGCAATTAAAAAAATTTTTTTTTACGGACAAATGAATTAAATGACAAAAGAAAATTATTTTTATTTTAATTCAACTAATAATAGAAAAATATATACATAAATAATATAAGTTAAAGAATTGTCAGAGCATTTGCATGGGAGGAAAATACTCGGACCCAAAGCCATTTATAAGTATTACCTATTCTTTGGGCACTCTGACAAAAATTCAACTTTCACTATTACTACTGCTATTATTACTATTATCAATAATATTATTATTAATATTTGTATCTTCATTGTTTTTATTATCTTCTTCGTAATCTTCACTCTCCACTTCTTTCTTCTTTTCTTTGTTGACCCATTCCTGAATTGCTTCTATCGTTTTACTTCTAGGATTGGTTTTTCGTTGATAGAAGTTTTTTATTGTGGAAGCAGCAACTCCTTTTCTATATCCTAGTAATTGGCGAATTTCAAAGACCATTTAATTAAATGAAAAATCGGGATTCAACCCAGTATTTTTGTCAAATAATTGTTTGAAATCCTTCCATAGATTTTCTATTTCTTGTGAATATTATTTATCACTAATAAGTTGGTTTGTTTTATTTTTAAATTGTTTCCTTCTTGGTTCTATTTTATTGATTATTTGATCAATTTTTTGATTTATAGTATGGAGTTGATTTTGGTAGGTTTTATGGTGAATCAAGAAACCAAGAAGGAGTCCAATTAACAATCCGCAAAAAAGTTCATTATTGAATGTAAGCATTTTTTTTAAAATGTTATTATGGACGAAAATTGTGTAAATATTTATTGATTATTTGTTTTTTTAAACCAAAATAAAATTGTTTGATGATGATTATTAGAAGGATTTGTTATTTGAATTTTTTTACCTGAAAATTAAGTAAATTAGTAATGCCTTTATAATGTTCCAATACAAGGTGGGATTATTTACCTTGTTTTAATGTCAATGAGAGAAAAACAAAGACTTATAAAACATATCCTTGAATTCAAACAATGTTTTTTTTTATTGATAAGCAATGCACAATGATGATCATTAATTACATTTGCATAAAAGGAAAATTTTCTTTGTAGTAATAGTTAGTAAAAAAAATTGTAATAATAAAATTATTTTCCTTCTAAGGGTTTCTGCTTTTTATTAGGTAGTAATGCATCTTCATTCTACCTTCTTTTTCCAACATTTATTATTTTTCTTTCTTCTTAATAAATTTCATAGGTAATCCTTTCTTTATTTAAATATGTTTGCAAAGATTTGGTATCTGCTAATTTAAAAATATAAGGAGCAATTTTTTCACCTTGCTCTTTCTTCAAAATACTTCTGATAGTACTATAATTCTTGGTTTCCATTGTAGATCTGATGTAAATTAATTTCATATTAACTATTTTTGTATAGAGATAGTTCTATATATCACTTAAGATAACAAATGAAAGATTTTAATAATCACATTACTAAATTTTGATCCCTGAAATCCTTGGTAATACTAATGTTCACTTTGTCTGGTTTTGTTGCAGCATGTCCTATATGATATAAGTTAACACTAATTTTAGCTTTAACAAGTTTAAGAAAATGTTATTTATAAATATCAATATTATATTATTAATTTCAATTTAAAATAATATTATCAATTCTGAATTATAATAATGATTACTATTTTTAGAGAAAATTTTGATTCACTTTAGTTTGAATTTAGTATTTTAAAAACTATATTAAAAGATAATATTATAAACTAGGTATCTTATTTAATATTTATAAACTAGTGATTAAAAATTTACACATCAAATTATGAAGTATTATATTTTGTAAAAATTACAATTATATAAAGTGTCTATCTACGTTTACTAAAATTTTCTTTAGTTTTATATATATATTTAAGTAAAATTTTTATCTTATAATCACATACTAAAATTATATTATTATTATTAAGTTCTAAAAGTTTTATTTTAAATTAATTGTTTAAATAAACTTTTATTATCTAATAAATCAAAAAATAATTAAGCTTATTTTGTGATTCTTCAGTAGTGACAAAAAGGATGTTCTGGAGTCAAAATCTAAAATTATATTCAGAAAGGTTTCCAATTATATTTCTGAAGCCTTCTAGCTATAAGAAGTCACTATAAAATTTAAAACTCTAGTCCAAATTTGAGTTTTTCCTGATATTCAAATATTTGGTATTAAATTTGACATTAAATTATCCCACTAGATATCAAAAATAAAATAATCTTTTATAGCCTTTCTAGCATGATTTTAACTTCAAATAATATATCAAAAAATTATACCATTCTGTTTAGGTTCGAGATAATGCAAAATTGGCAAGAATTGAAGGTTCAAAGTTAAATTTGTGAAGTCTCTGCAAACCTTTAATGTATATTATTTTTTATAATATATTAGAATTAATTTTAAAGCTAATTCATTAATGAAATCAAAGTTATTAAGTCTAATCTTTTGATATCCATATGCTAAGTCTAACCTCAAAGAGGTTTGATTTAGCTGTTATCCAATTTATAGTTTAAGAAGCTATAAAACATATTTTAGTATACTAATATTTTTTCGATATGCAGAAAACCTTTCTAAAGCTATTTGTATTATGCAAATATAAGATCAAAAAATCTAACCTTAAATGTAAAAAATTGGGTTAAAGGTTAGACTTTGTCACTAAGTCATACGAAAAAATTACACCTCTAAGTCTCATCTCTAAAGCAGTGTATAAAATTTATGTGAACAATATGCATAAATAATTACTAAAAATAAATAAATTATATATAAAAATGGATAAGTTATTTATAAAAATTTTTTTTTTTTTTTTTTTTTTTTTAAAATGCAGTAGTTTCGCAATATCTTTATTATGAAAGTATGATAATATAAAATTAAAAACAAATCAAAAGAAATTACAAAA